ATGTTTGACTTTCTGAAGTCGAAGGTCTTTCTGGTCGAGGATCATCTTCAACTGACTGACAACCACTTATAAATCGTGAAAACCAATCACAACCCCAAACATCAACTCCGTAAGCTTGTTTCAAAAGTTAAAATGTTTCCGTGAATGTTTCCACCAGTTCCAGGCAAAATTTTACGTTGCACTCAGATAGCAATATCATGAAAACTAATTTCCTATCAACAATCCAAGAACATGTGGTTTCAGAGATGCGCAACGCAATTCTGCCAACATTTCTATACATTAGTTTTTAATAAAATTCTTTATTATTACCGTTGAGAGAGCGTTTATTTCTTGCTGTACAGAGAAAGCAACCCTCACGCATATCATTAAATATCTCCATTAGCGCGTAATTCAAAAAATTTCCTTATTTCCTGAACAAACCTCGTATATAAATAATGAGGCAATTTATAAATCGTCTAGTGAAAAATTTTCCACTCTAATAAACAGTTTAATAGACACTTGATTAAGCAACGTAAAGAAAACTACGGTTAAATTCAGATGTTGCATTTGTCTCGATAATGAAAATATTGACGACCTCTAAAATCTGTACTTTTAATTTAACGGTCTTGTTCATGTTTTAAAATATTATGAGGATGAAAGTTAAAATACCTACCCACATACAAGGTGTTCCGTATTGTTATTTTCAAATTTTGGCAGCATATAAAGCAGGCTGAATTCTACGACTAAAAAACACAAAAATGAAGGAAAATCTTTATTGGAAAGTTACAGGGCTATGCAATTATGAAGAGTAAATAAATAGATTTAATTTTGTAAACCAAGTAAAAAATTATCTTATTTCACAAATATTTTGTTAAATATATTTTCAAAATGTAGTAGGGCAAAGTCTACGACTTACGTACATATTAAAACTAATATAGGTACCTAACCTACCTACCTAAACTGTATATACTACAACGATTTAGTCAATTTTGTAATTATCTAAAAAGTTAATAAGTAAAATAATCTGTCAAACTGTTAGAAAATAGTACAATAGCTGATAAATAAAAAATTTCATTGTTACTTAGTCGAAATTTTAAGAAATAATATTAATTTGGGTAGGCGGAAATAGTAAATATGTTATTAGTGTTTTTATTTACATTGATGTTATGTTACTGAAAATAATACACTTACTTTATATAGGTACTCTTAAATATTTGAATTATATTTTTTTGTTTACTGCATACTTCGTCCAATATAGTGCAAGTGCGATAAGTAGGGTAATTTTTGCATTTTAAAAGGGATATCTGAGCATATAGTTTCCTAAATAATATAAATGAGATATTAGAACAGTATACATACCTACTAGTTTTCGATGCATAACTACTACATACTAGTACCTATACTAGAGTATACTAAAATGTAGATGTAGATTTTTTAAAGAAATTATGTCTGTTTGAGAAATGGACGTTGAATGAGTAAGGATACCTATAATTGCTTCAGAATGGCATTTTAGAGGAGGTGCCATTGAATTTGCTGTCCATCACATTGTAGTGAATCAAAAAGATGAGTTCAGAGAGTGAATTCACCACCGAATACGAATGCAATAAATAATACACAAGGGATTATGTATATTTAGAATTTACGTTTCGCCGATGTAGACATACCTATTGTTTTGAATTCCAAGTTAATACGAGACATTATAATAATATTAATTTAAAATTTATTTCCTATCTTTAAGAAAGAAAATTTCATATCAGAAGAACGGTCTCCCATTCAACTGAGATTTTCGGTAAAACGATACACTATACCTATTTTCAACAAGTATGCGGTTTTTTTATATATAGAATTGTCCACGGAATCTAAAAATGAATCCTAAATGATTATTAGGTCATTGGTATAGAAGTTGGCTTAAGGGCCCCATATTCTTTAAATAGTGTTTTCCGCAAAGACAAATAATTTCAAACATTTAATAACTGAATAATCTAAAGCTTATCAAATAATAGGAATGTTATGTCATGCCACCTGAGTATTTTCAAAGACGCCGCAGTAAAACGAATAAACAGGTGCAAAAAACGATCAAACCATCAAGGTTTTAGGTACTGAAATCTACTGAATACTAACTTTTTTATATATAATTCCACATGTAAATATTCTTATAACATTTACTTGCTTAGTCCTACATATAAAATTGTTTACTTTTATTTATGAGTACGTGAAAATAATTCTTAAAATGTGGGGTTAGAATAACAGCAAACGCATGTTTTACAAACCCTTTTTTTTAGTTATTATTTTATTTGAGTAAATTTAAATGGTAACAATGAATAAACAAAATATCAAGGATTTTATTTTTGTGCTTACTTTTGTTCTACACGTTTTACTTTTAAAGATTTCAGTACCTAAAAACGCCAGAAATTTGACTATTTCTCGGCCAGGAATATGGCCACCTTAAATAAATCTCGCTTTGCCACCCATTCCTCCGCCACTGACCTACAAAAATTTGTAAATTTTACAGTAAATTATGCACATGTGTAAATGTTAACACCACACCAAATTTGAATCAATTTATTATAAACATACAATACGGCCCTGTTCAATGGAAATAGTGAGACTTCTGAATTATTTATCGAGTTCTATTTGTACTTAACGTTTGATTCACCCGAACTGAAATACCCTATATACAGCATGTGGTGGCTCATTTTTCAATTAAAATAAAACAACCTTTTTTTCTTATAAACCACGCTAAGAACTAAATACACTTATCTAATTTGTAAAATAGTCAGTAGCGCCGAAATTTTTGAGGTTTTCGAACGACAGAGCCTCCCATTATCTTCGGCTCTGATTGACAGATTTGTATACGAGTTCAGTGAATTTTTGCCCATTATTATACAAGTTATTAGTCCATGTTCCATCTATGTACACTGAACATCTCAAGAGATATTTAAATAAGTATGATATTTCTTTTTTACAATCAATATCTTTTAACTTGAACACCCTGTGTCTCGAAAACTAAACATTTCTCCATCTATGTCTATTAGACTTTAATTTTATTTCGAAGAATTATATCACCATGTTAAGGATTGTGACAGCATATTTTCTGTCCAAATATATTACTTTTCATGACCTCAGTTAGTTCGGGTATTTAGTAGATAAAATGTAGATACACCAATAGGCTATTGATTATAGTGCTATTAAATTAGAGGGTGAAAATTGGAAATAGGAGTGAAAATGCACCCCTTTAAGTTTTTTAATTGTAGCTCGAAAACTAAGCAAAATTTCGCTATAGAGAATTGAATTTCCCATCGAAATGGCTCATTTAAAAAATTTAAAAGGAAAATTTTATGCAAAAAATCGTTAGTAAACAATTTGAAATTTTTTTTCTTTCTTTTTTGACTAATTTATGTTAAAAACGATGATAATCTAAAAAATATTTAAGTTTAACCGGTTATAACTCAGTCAATATTAGTCCAAAAACTTTTTAAAACGCATCATTTGGGAATCTCATCTAGTTTTTTTGTACAGCAATTTTTTTTGCCTACTTCTACTAAAAAAAATAGAGTCAAAAATTTGAAAAAAATAAAAAAATCTTCTTTTTTTACTTATTTAAAGTAGTTTATTAACGATTTCTTGAATAAAAATAAATGTCATTTCGATGAGAAATTCAATTATGTACAAAATTTTTCCTATGAACTATACCGAAATTTTGCTTCGTTTTCGTGCTATATTTAAAACACTGATGCAAAAGTGCATTTTCACCCCTATGTTCAATTTCAACCCTCTAATTTCATAGCACCCAGCGGATTTTTCAATTTTAATGACCCTTCGAACAAGTCATGTGATGAAAATCCTTGAACAAATCCTCCCTTTTTTACAAAAATTAAAACGTATAAGAGTAAACACGACGAAAATCGAAAAATTGGCTAAGTTTGAGCGGCCATATATCAGTCAATTTTCGTCCAAAAAGACTGTACAACCTCTTTTTTTTTGAAGGAAATTTTATCTATTTTTTTTATGAAGCAATGCCCATACCTATCTTTACTTAAAAAAAAACTAAAGGCAAAAAAGTAAAAATAATCTAAAAATCGAATATTTAGCTTTTTTTCAAATTGTTTATTAACGATTTTTTGCATAAAATTTTTTTGTTTTAAATTTTTTAAATACCTGCACCATTTCGATGGAAAATTCAATTCTTTAAATAATTTTTCCTATGAACTATAGCGAAATTTACTTCGTTTTCGAGCTACAATTAAAAAACTGAAAGGGGTGCATTTTCACCCCTATCTCCAATTTCCACCCTCTAATTTAATAGCACTACGCGATTTTTTCATCTAAAATGACCCTTTGAATGATTCATGCAATAAAATTGCTTGAACGTCATAGTTCCTTTTAACCCTGTTTTTTTTTACCTATAATTATTTGGTCCAAAACTCAAAAAGTATTACCCTCCAGTGCCAGGGATGTAAGCGAAGATGACATAAATATAACAATATAAAAAAAATATTAACATTATTAATTAGAAAATTAAAAGGGATCTCATTTCATGATACTGGGCGGTAAGTTCTTCGATTCTTTCACAATACCTATTTTACAGTTTTCGAGTAAATTTGATTCTCTTACATATTTATTTTGCGCCGTTACTAACAAATTAGTACCTACCTAAGTGTCTATTATTGAATGAAACTTGCTGAAATCATTAGTTTAACTTATTTGGTCATTAACAAAAGCACAAAAAGATAAATGTAACACTTCTTCGCTAACTATGAAAATGAAACATTTTATATGTCCACTTTGACTAAAAGCTAACGTCTGAGCACTAAAATTAGACTACACCCTGTAGATTGCATTTTCATAATGTTCCTTTCATAAAATAGCAATCTCGCAAAAAATGTAACGAAAACAAGAGTCCCACGTAATTGATTTAGCTGACCGAATTGTGGTATAAACAAATAATTTTTTATGAGAGTTTATATAAATATTCAAGATTTAACAGTAACTACTTTTCAATAAACCGCAAATTTACTTACCGTAGCAGATCAGCTGAGTGTTCCTTTCACGGACTTGATCCAATCTTTCCTTTAACCTATTCCTGAGTTTCATTGCCGCCTTCATGGGGAACCTTCTAAATCTAGTATTCTGCAAGATTTGTCCAAAACAGGTAGACGCTGGTACCGCCAGCAACACTAAACAATTTATTATTAACATTTCTCGACGTTAGATTCTCAGCCGTAAGAATTTTTAGTGATAACGGAATTATAAACATAGCTTCATGGGTTTTTTGAGGTAATGTGGATTCGGTTCGTGAACACGTCCGACTGAGCATATTCAAAGGCCGGCTGAAAAGTGAACTCCTACCACTTTCACTTTCGCGGGAAAGTGTTATCGAAGCAGTGGCCTGCTTATTGGCATCAAATGGGTACGCGTAGTGTCATCGTATTTATTTGCTTTTACGTTGTTTGGGTGACAGAATATGGATTTCGTAATGTTAATGTCCGTGCAACCTGTCGATATGAAAATTGGGCCAATTTTATGCCAGTCCAGTGCCAAGTCCAGTTGTCCAGTTCGCATTATTCCGATTTTGTTTATACAATTTAACATTTTTTATGTTTTATCTGTTATAATATCACATTTGATTAGTAAAATTCACACCTCTACTAAAGTATTTTCATTTTATTAAAAATATACACCTTTACTAAAGTATTAGCTAAAGTTATGTTGCAACAAAGTTTCTCTGTACAAATTTTGGCAATAACTATTAAATGACACAACCACATATTTTATTGATTGACTGGTAATAAAATTTACAAAACGTATTAGTAATTCAATATCTAGCGAAGGGTACTCACTGATGTGAACAGTTTGACCAAATTCACCTTGTTTGCGAGATGCGCAAAGAAGAGTACCCGCAATAGAAAGACAGATATCATATGTGCAAAAATTTAACGTAGGTAGGGCAAACATAGTTATTTAATGAAGGTTTTATAATATACCGTAGTAGTTCCTAGAGTCAAAATATTACAATCTAACGCAACTGACCTTAGTCCATAATAACATATAAAGGGTCAAAGATGAAAAAATATTCAATATGTTGACATAGTAGATATTTATTTGAACCATATTCCGTCTACGGGCATTTATTGTAATCATAACTAACATCCTTAAGGGCATCCGTTTCGACAAGAAAATAGGGGTTTGGTAAATAATAAGTAAAATGTACTTATTTATTTAATATATTTATGAAACAAATATTTTGCTAACTAAAATAATTAAGGAATTTGTATTTAAACAATTAAATAAAAAACAGTTGTAGGAAATTAATTACTAACAAATTAGAATTTACAAAACAACGACGATTAAATATTATTAAAATCTAAAGAACAATAAATAAGAAAATATTATTACGAATCGATGCATAGGAATTTTTATTGATACCAACTAAATATTTAATATTCATGTTGAGTAAATTTTCAAAGTGACTAGGGTTTCCCCATATTCAATAAAAATATCGATATCGTATCGATTTTTAATACTCTCTTTGACAATATTTGCAAGAATACGATATTAACTTTTCAAATATTGACGATAATTATTGTATCGTCAATAATGTGTTGTCAATAATATCGAATAATATTGATCTGGACAAAAGCGCGAATCACACAAAATGAATATATAAAACAATATCTATAAAAAAGAAAATACATATTTGTAAACAAATTCTCGTTACTAATAGGTATACTTAACAAAGAATACCGCACTCACGGCCAACGTACCGCATCTAGAGCTTATCTTCTTTTCTCTCTCTCTTCTTCCTATTCGCAACAATAGTACCAGGTAGGAAAGTACTGATGGTCTATCTGAAGTTACGTGAGAGCGATAAAGTAAGCCATAGAAATCCATGCGATAGAGAAGGATGGCTATAATGAATGCGTCTCATAGCCACCGCCCGTTTCGCTCTTCCACAAATAAGATCCACTTCTTATTTGTGGAAGGGCGAAATGGGTGGTGACTATTAGACGCCTTCACTATACCCATCCCTGTCCATCACATGGATTTCTATGGCTTACTTTATCGCTCTCACGTAACTTCAGATAGACCATCGGTACTTTCCTACCCGGTATATGTCACAGAGCACCTAGAGTTTCCTATCCCAAAGCATGGGAACCGATGAAGCCAAATTGCGAGGAAGTCGAGTGTGCGAGGTAATCTGATCGCGCATACTTTGAACAGGTCCGGCTTAAGGTAGTTCCTTCGAATAAAATCTAGGCTTAAGACACGTACGCAAATTTTTAGATCAATAGTTAAAGCAGTTCTGAATAAAATATTTAAATTTTAAATCGATTGACCATTTCGATTTTTAGAAATTTTCAATGTTCAAAGAATTAACACGTGGGAGATAGGGATTCGTTACATTCCTTATATTCCTCATAAACCACTTTTACCATTTATGCACAAATTTTTATATACGTAGAATAATTTTCTTTTATTTTTTTCGGTACAAAAAATATTATGATTGACCATTTAGTATGAGAGTAATTAATTTTTTAAAACATCAATAATGAATAAGTTCGCTTGAATGGGGACTAAATTGAGAAAAAAGAGCGCGAAAGTTGATGTTTGGAGGTTTGGTAATATTATAGAATTCTTATTTGACAGGAATTGTAGAATTACACTGGACTTTTCTAATCCACGCCTGTAGAGATTCTCAGAAGCAGGTTTAGTTATAACTAAAAATAGGTGTTCTTTAAAGGATAAAAGTGCTCAGGCTCTAATTTTAATCAATAGTAGGGTTTCTGATTTCTCGGCCTATTTTTTTTCTCGGGACTCGAGAATTCTCGACTAGGAATTCCTGGGAATTCTCGAATTCTCGAGATATTTCTAAAACTTAAAAAAGTCATAATTTTGGTATTGCAATGCGAAATATAAACATGCTATTATACTTAACAATCATCATTAACATTTATTATTTATTCAGTATTTTTATTAATTACTTATGTTTCTACTTCTACTAACAAAACTAAATTAAACTTTGAGTTTCTTCTTAAAAACCTTTAACTTGTTTTTTTATTAAACACTTTCAATATACTTATGTTTATTTCAATGTTTTTGAATCGTAGTTTTCTTCCAATAATAATTATTAATAATCATTAATCATGCAGTCTTTTAATTAAATAAATAGTAAATAAGGAATTTAACCGAAGAAATCTTAAAAAAAAAAAAGCTTTAATTTAAAGATACAGAAGCGTTCTTCCTATTAATTTATCACTTATAATCACAATCTTTTAATTAACAAAACAAAAATAAAATAATCAACTAAAGGAACAGGAACTAAATATTTTCATAATCAACATCAACATTAGGTATCTGCTTATAATAAAATTTCTACACAGACTTATAACTAGGTACAGGGTGATTCACTATATTTTGACCCCCCTTTAACTTTTTTGTTTTAAGAGTTATAAAAAAATGTGAAATACAAAAGTTGCACGATTTTTTATGAAATTTTCGAATATGATAGTAGAAAAACAAATGAAGTTCAAACAAAATGGCCGCGGATGTTAACTTTGTTAATTTAAATGGAACACCCTGTATATTTTTACACATTTGGATAGAACGTTCCCTGTCGAGCACAGTCATATATGGTTTGTTGGGTCCATCTCTAACAATAAGCGAGATAATATTAAAAAACGAAAAGAACGTTTTTTATTAAGAAAATAAAATATTTTGTAATTGTTGGACGTTTTTCGGGCATTTCTGCCTTTTTTCCAATTACGTAAGGATTTAGATTTATTTGCAATATATTTTGACATATCGAACATTGATATAGTCCAAAATGGGTATAAGTATTTTAACTAAATCGCACTAATTAGTCCGTGAGGGGCTTATTTACTCATGGACAATGTTATATGGTAGGCCGTGACAGTGACAGGTAATATTATGACAACATTGTTATTGTTTGACAGTTTGTATTATTATTTATTTAAAATGGGTTACACAGAAGTAGAAAATTTAAATATTATAGGAATTAAGATAGAGTAGTTAAGATATTCTCCATAGTTTATTTTAATTCCTAATAATATTTCAATTTTCTACTTCTGTGTAACCCATTTTAATTAAATACTAATACAAACTGTCAAACAATAACAATGTTATCATGACATTACTACCTGTCACTGTCACGACCTACCATATATAAGATTGTCCATGAGTAATTGGCCTCACACGGTCTAATTAGTGAGATTTACTTAAAATACCTATACGCATTTTGGACTATATCAATGTCCGATATGTCAAAATATATTACAACTAAATCTAAATCCTTACGTAATTGGAAAAAAGGCAGAAATGCCTGAAAGAGGTCTAACAATTACAAGATGTCTTATTTTCTTAATAAAAAAACATCATTTCGTTTTTTAATATTATCTCGCCTATTATTAGAGATGGACCCAACAAACCCTATATGACTATGCTCGACAAGGAACGTTCTATCCAAATATGTAAAAATATACAGGGTGTTCCATTTAAATTAACAAAGTTAACATCCGCGGCCATTTTGTTTGAACTTCATTTGTTTTTCTACTATCATTTTCGAAAACTTCATAAAAAATCGTGCAACTTTTGTATTTCACATTTTTTTATAACTCTTAAAACAAAAAAGTTAAAGGGGGGGCAAAATATAGTGAATCACCCTGTACATTAAAAAAAAAAATCATCAAAGTAAACTAAAGCCTTAAAAACTTAAAATAAATAAATCATGAGCTGGTAGAGAAACCACTTTAACCGCTCAGTTATTTGTCGAGAAACGAATTGAACGCATGAACGAAACGAACTCCAGTCAAGAACTTAAGACGCGCGTGATTTTTAAATTTCTCGATTTCTCGATTTCTCGACACTTTTTTCTCATCTCGAGTAAGGCCAGATTTCCCGGGAATTCTCGCTTCGAGAAGTCTCGACCAGAAACCTTAATCAATAGGTGGATGAAAAGTTCCTTGAAAAAAGAAATTTGCGAAGTTAATTTGTAGTGTAAAATTAATTTTTTTGTTCAATTTAATCTTTTAACACTTTTTTTGTTCTTGTCTCCATAAAATATTTTATAGATATTTTGACTTTTATCATATTATATCTTAGCTTGTATGTTCATTCAAATTAAGTAAATAAATTAATATAAATATTATACTTTCGAATTTGGTATAATTTTAATATTTTTTACGTAAAAATTTCAAATTCAGTGCAATTTTTCTAGTAAAAAAATAAATTTCAGCTATTTTATTTCAATAAATATTGAAGATCGTATCGATATG